GTTTGGAGCCAGAGTCTGCGCAGTAGTGTCGCGAGGTGGAGCCGCGGAATCAAACTCCCGCAGACTCAATCAACCATAACGACATGCCCCGTTTTTATAGCATCAAATTACTAGCTAAAATCAAACTTAATACAAAAACGAACAATTTAACATATATCAGCGTGATAAGTACCTTAAATGACCAAAACCATCTTTCGGAAAAATTGTATTGGAAGTGTAATTAATTTTTTTATTTTGACTCAAGTCCCATTCGTTTACATGGAGAGGGCGGGGTTTATGACCTGTACTGCAACCGGCCACCAGGGGGCGATCAAAGAGCCTGCAGCTTCACTTTTCAGGACGTGTGAGGCACACCCGACTGCCACACATACTCTTCAGAACATTAGATTCATCTGTACTGAAGCCGTGCCAACTCACAACCCAAGCAAGCTAGATAATTCCACACACAGCTGCAATTCCAGGTTTTCAAACAGAGATGGCGACAAAGAGGCAAAATTTACGGACTGCAGCTTTAATAGAAAATGTAATAGGGAGATTAGATAGAGAGAGAAATTGTTAATTATTAAAAATGAATATTAAATTATAAATAATGCAAAGTAGAAGCATTTTCACTAGTGGTCTCAGGCAAGCTACACTATTTGTAGTGTATTTTCAAAGAGTGTAGGTGTGTTTGTTTTTTGGGCTAATGTTCCCTAAGTAGCAAATTAGGTGTGAGGTAAACTAAAGGTTATTAGCTATTTTTACACTGGGACAATCCCTTCAATGTGTCTCACCACACCTTCCTGTTTCAATGTGAAATATGTTATAGACATAGGAAAAAAATTTACATTCATCGAGCTATTTCCTGGGTTCTTTGTCACAGTTCATGTAGCAGCAAACTAAAACATGCCAGTGCAAATATTAAATGGCATGACATCTGTGCTATAAAAGTTGTGATTTGGTGTTTGGTCCAGATATTTGTACCAAATATTGGTCCAGCTGTTTTACCACATACTCAAATTATGAACATTCCCATCACAAGGGAAGTACATACTTTTAGCATGTGGTAGTCAGTTATTATTTTTTTTAAATAACCATTATTTGATATAAAATATATATTTTTAAAAAAGTTAACTTGTTTTATTTCACCTAGTTGACAAGACAACCTTTTAAAAAAATTAGTTTAAGTACTAAAATAACCTAAGTTAAATAAACTAAAACTGTGGAAGGAGACGAATTGTTGAATAAACAAATATATATATTAATAAAAAATAAATATAAATACATTTATTAAATAATAACAATAATAATAATAATAATGAACTCAATTTATCAGAAATGAGGGGAAAGTTGGAGCATGTGGAAGATGACAAATAGCAAAATAATGGTATTAATTAGTAATTAGTAATAGTAGCAATAATAACAATATTAACAATAAACTCATTCATCAGGAACCGGGGGGAGGTTGGAGGATCAGGAAGAGGACAAATAGTAATAATAATAATAATAATGGTAGTAGTAGTAATAATAACGGCACCAACAACAATAATAATAATAATAATAATAAAGCTATAAATAGTGAGATATTGTAAGGCTGCCTCTGGGCCATCCAAAGCATCTTAATTTGTGTTCCGAAGATGATCCAAGGTCTTACGGGTTTGAAACGACATGAGGGTGAGGAATTAATGACAGAATTTTCATTTTTGGGTGAACTAACCCTTTAAGTGTTGTAGTTAAAAATGCCAAGCCTAGTCCAAGAATATGTCAGCTGGCACAACCAAAGCGGGTGAAGATGCTGTTGACACACTGCAGCGTTGATTCAAGCGCCCATGTGATCAGCGTTTCCATCACACCCTCTTCACGCATACTACAGCTGGCCTGTGAGTGCATATCACTGCTCTTTTTATACTGTAAATTATCATCTACTGCATATACAGTCTGCAACTGCTCAGAAAGTAACCTATGCACTATGGGTTATTGACACAGGTTCAGTTGGGTTTGAATTGTAATTCTCTCTTCTGTCATTATTTTCCGAGCTCAGCTCCTAAGCAGGTCCATGCACAGCACGCTCTCGCAAGGCCAGTTTCTTGGCCGGTTCCAGATCGTGCTCTGAAGGCCGTAGACAGCGAGAAACTGCAGAAACTGGCTCAACCCAAGACTGGTCAGGCCCTGTTTGAGGGGTACGACTCCTACCAGGTCAGTCCTTCCGCTCGGGCCGCCACCACCGCATCCCCCAGGCTCCTGGAGCTGTCTTCACCCTTACCACGCAAATGTAAAGGACAATAAGCCATCACCCCGCCATCTTTAGTAAAGCGCTTTCAGTACATTTTTATAATTACTTTACCATTTAATTTTTTTTTAAATGTTTTTGAAAGAAGTCTCTTATGCACTTTGCACAAATGCATTTATTTGACTAAAATACAGTAAAACAGTAATATTGTGAAATATTTTTACTTTTTAAAATAGCCGTTTTCTATTTGAGATATTTGAAAATGTAATTTATTCCTGTGATTGTAAAGCTGATTTTTCAGCATCTTTACTCCAGTCTTCAGCGTCACATGATCCTTCAGAAATCATTCTAATATGAAAAACAATCTTCATTAGACGGTAGTGTAGTTTCCACTCATTAAGTCCACTCATAATGTTAGTCAGGGTTTGTTGCTTCTAAAATAAGCATGTTTTGAGTTCTGAAAGACAAAGCTGAAGTTCAGGGTCTCATATTTACCTTGCATTTCATCAAGTCACAAAACATTCTGAAATACAATGCTTTCAAGGCACTTTATGCCAACATCAAATGTATTCATTTGTGGTAAATGAGATGCGCTCAAACAGGTTACTGCCAATCTGAAATTCCCCCTCAAGCCTTCAGGCTAACATAGTGCTGTAGGTTATATTAACTCTTACAATAAAAATCACAGAATGAATGATGAGCATCAGTGTTGTTCATCTTTTTAGCAATGTTTAAAAACCATAAATTATCAGTTTTTGACTAATGAATTCATGGCTCTGTAACATGAGTCCATTATCTATTTAAATTTAGCTACCAAACTTCAAATATACCTTATTTACAGACTACATTGCATATCTCTTAACCTAAAATTACAGCATGCAAAGTTAGTAAGTTACAGCATGCACGTGTTGTTTCTGTTTGCTGTGTGTGCAGTTGGACTAACAATTGACTTGTAATTTCTCAAAGAACCTGGTGTAATTCCAACTAGGATCAATGTGTGATTAGATGATAATGAAATTCATCTTACTTCTAAATGACTTTTATTTGATTTTATTATTACAAATTGGAAAACAGTCAGCTATGCAATATCAGTTTAACAAATGATTCATTTCGGTATTCAGCAAACAACAAATGACTCATTTTAATGTATTTACTTGAGGTTGATTGTATGTTGTCTTTGTTATGTCATCTTAAGTTCTTCCCCATTAATTCTTCATCACGACTGAACTCACGAGAGACTTGGAATAATGCTGATATGTTTGGTTTGAGCGATCGAGCAAGTGAGTAATTGGCCATTATGGAGACCGCAGGAATCATGTGATATGTGTACAGGCACTGGGATATACATTAGAAATGATCATTTTAACAATAAAAAGAAAGTTGCATCAAAGTTTCGAGCTTCGAGCAAAGTGACACATCTCTGACACAATAATGTCACTCCCCCAGTTTCTCTTGCTCCAAATTAAAGGACACTACACAGTAAAACATTTTTACCGATAAAATCATCTAGCTTTTAGAGATGATTATTAATTATAATTATTTAAATTATTTATAGAATTATTATACCCTTACATGAGCCAGTTTAGTATAATCATAATTATTAAGCTTTTATTTTAAATGAATATAAATATATAAAGATATGCAATATAAATAAGTTTTAGAATAAATAGCTTGAAACATATGAGCTTCGATTTTTAAGTGTTTTTATAAACTAACTTCACAACTTTTACTTGCACTGATATGATGTTTTCTTTAAGTTGTCTTCTTGCTCTGTAAATGTGTTTAAATTCTTCATATTTTTCAGTCTTTTAATCTTTGGCAGTGAATCGCACAGACTCTCCCGCGAGAAGTGAATCAGAGTTTCAAGGCATGTGATTGGCTGTTCGTTACTAATGTCACACTTTCATGTGCACATGGATCATAAACTCAGGATCAAAGTCTGAGTTGACAGAGAAAGCTGATGATCAGCATCATGGTACCAACAAACCCTGATTGGACTGGTTTGGTTTTGTCAACTCAAAACTAATCCTGCAACCCTGAGTTTGTTTAGCCACCAGCATGGTACAAGCCCCTGGTCTTCTGGAAAGTCTTCATCTTCTTCACAACGAAAACACATGACGTGCAACTTTGCTTAAATTCAACTTTTTTGGACCACAGCACCAACCTCGACACCTCAGTGGACATTTTAGGTGTTCTTTGGCCAATGCGAGTATACCTTTAGGCAGACGTGGCCAAATGGTTAGAGAGTCGAACTTGTAACCGGACTTGAGTCTCAGTACCAGCAGGGATTGTAGGTGGGGGGAGTGAATGTACTGAGCTCTCTTCCACCTTCAATACCATGATTGAGGTGAGACCCCAGAGCAAGGCACTGATGGTGGTGCTGCAGCAAAAATGGCTGCCCACTGCTCCGGGTGTGAGTTCACGGTGTGTGTTTGTTCACTACTCACTGCTGTGTGTGTGCACTTGGATGGGTGTAATGCAGAGCACGAATACAGAGTATGGGACACCATACTTCTCTACACGTCACGTCACAAATATTTATCACACAACATTGTTAATGTGTGTTAATGCTGAAATATACTACTACCGATTTACAGTCTGGCCCAGTCGATGCTCCACAAATACATGCATTATACAGTGCACAGTAAGCAATCTGTGGATCGGTTTTGCACAGTGTAATGTTACAAGTTACTAAGTTGAAAGTACTGTTGTATTTGATGAGCAAACATTGTGTTGTTTCTCCTGTCTGTTCCTCAAACCACATATAACAAATGTTAATGTTATATTTGTGCAACACCCCAAAGGGAGGTAAAACATTCATTTGCATGTTATTGAATGAGAATCCACAGCATACTGTATGAATTCCAATAACCTGTTCCAATGGGACTTTAGGGAAGTTGATATCTGAAATGCTTGCTTCCTCTGAGCCATTGTGATTATTTAAACTCTGTTTATGACTGGCCATGGGTGCGCCAAGTTATTTGACTTCAGGTACGTAACTCATTTGATTCTGTATTCTCCAAATGTTTCGTTTATTTCTCCGAGTCATTCTAGTTCAAGTACTTCCACTGTTTTTATCACTCGACATGGAAACAAAATACATTCCTGTATGAATGACTGCTGTGAAATTGCACTTTTATAGGAATAGTTCACTCAAAAACGAAAATGCACTCACCCTCAGGCCATCCAAGATGTAGATAAATTTGTTTCGTCATGGGAACAGATTTGGAGAAATGTAGCATTGCATCACTTGCTCAGCAATGGATCCTCTGCAGTGAATGGGTGCCGTCAGAATGATATTGTGATGATAAAAACATCACAATAATCCACAAGTAATCCACACCACTCCAGTCCATCAGTTAATGTCTCGTGAAAGCGAAAAGCTGTGTGTTTGTAATAAACAAATCCATCAAGACATTTTAATGTTAAACTGCTGCTTCCAGCTTAAATACGAGTCCATATCTATAATAACACTTTCTTCTTTTTTCATTGTTTTTATCAGCTGATGGCAAATATTAAGCAAATATTTGGTTTTAGTTACACCGTAAGGCATGATTTGAATCAGCTTTTTGTGATATATTGTTCATGCTTTGTTGTTGTTGTATGTCATTTTGCAACTCTTATGTTAACAAAAGACTGTGCCAGTGTTGTTTGCGTGCTCATGGATAATAGCAGTGTGAGAAATATTCCCTCATCACAGTATTGTGTGCTGTGTGTCTGAATCTCCACAAGGGTGCTTTGAGATTGTTTTGACTGAGTGGGGTTTGCAATTACATGATGAATGTTTTCCATCTGATGCAGTTGAAAACAAACATGGGCTCCCTCTCTCTCTGAGCAATTTAAACATAGCTCTAAACCACATCTGATCTGTTACAAATATCCTGCAAAACGCGTAATAATATTCTAAACATCACCTGCTGCCCATACTGTAGGAGGATTAGGTTTCATTTGGTTTCAGTTTAGTCAACATTTTCAATAAATTCTAATTTCATTTAATTAAGCCTCCTTTTTTCTTTCTATTAGTCAAATATCTTAAACCATTATGGCATTTTCAAACAGAAAAACTAATTTCCCCAAATTATAATCACGAGTTTTGCAAAGTTTAAAATGTTTAGAAGCTGCACTGAAAAACTACATTGCATTCAAAGTTTCAGTATAGGCCTACTCTTTTTAATAATCTCACAGTGTGTAATGAGCATTTAGTGTATCTGTGTATGGCTTTTGAAGGAAAGGTTTGAATTACGGTGTAAAAAACGTAGCAGTTCTGTCTGAGCATTTCACAAATACATTTCAGTTTTGTTTCAGTTATTTATGAAATAGCCTACAAAATAGATGTGCACACACTTTTTATTGTATTTGATGCATAACTATTGAAATACACATTTTTATTATTATTTTTTGTATAAAATGTTATATAGAAAAATAAAAGATATTTATATAATATTATATAACATGTATTATTATTATTATTATTAAAACAATCATACTCACTGCAGTTGCATTATATTGTATTATTTGATGCATGAGAAACATAAAAATAAATATTTTTTGATCAGATACGATACAAAATAATGTCATACAGAAACTGAATCTATCAGTTCTACAGAAAATGATGAAATGTTCACCTCAATCTGAGTGCACCACGCTCTTTTACGCATCACCGCGCATGACTGTAATTGGATGAGCGCGTAACAGCGAAATAGATCAGATCATCTGCCGACATTATGTCATCAGCATCTCCGGACACTTAAAGGCTGTAAATATTGGACAGAATTCAACTCTCTGCTTCTTCAACTTCATCCAGCACAGGTACGTCACGAGCTCATGTCGACTTTACGCGGTGATTCGTCTTTCGCTTTGGGTATTCCACCATAATAGCCGTTTGGTTTGCTTCATTTGCGTTTTCATTCATGCCAGATCTGTGTTTAGAATGTGCTTTGACTTAGTGAATAGAAAAAGTAGAAACGAGCTTATGACTTATCTGTCCAAAAAGTGCTTTATAAAAAAGTGGTGTGGGTGCACTTTATAGTGCCACTGGTGTCTTTATTTAAATATT